CCTGGCGTCTCCCAGGTTCCTGTACCCACTCTGGCTTCACAGCCTCTTGGGGCTCTAGCCACTTCCTGCTGCTCCCCCCCCCACTGTCCCCAAGTTCGGCTTCCATCCACTGAAAACTGTTCTCAGCTCTTCCATGGTCTGTGCCACTGCCTGCTCCTCCCTTGCCCTCATTTGGCCACCTTGGACAACAGCTGCCTTTGCGGTAAGGGAAGCAGATGGACTGATGACACATCAGCGAGCCTGGCGGGAGGGGGTTGGCCTCCTTCGTTAGGGTTGCGTTGCCAGGACACGAGAGCTTCTCTTGAGCGCAGGTATAGTTTGTTTGTTTTTTGAACTGCCCCCCTAAGAGGCAGAAATTTTATTTAAAGTTTTTCACATATTATACACAAACACAAAATAGAGATACACACATACATTCATGGGGGTTATTTTCCATTGTTAACAAACTTTTATACCCTTGATCCACATAATTCTCTATTCCTGTGTACTATGTAAAGTCACCATCTATCTCTACCTTCTTCAATCATATATATATTTCATTTAATAAATCAATAGTCTGTCAAATATAAACTTGCCTGACCTGGACACTGGGCATTCAAAAGGCTTCTCCACTTTGTGGAATCTTTGAGGCTGCTCAAGATGGCTACTCTGAATCTCTTTCCACACCCTGCGCATTCAAAAGGTTTCTCCCCCGTATGGGTTCTTTGATTCTTCTGAAGACTGCCACTCTAACTGAATCTCTTTCCACACCCTGAGCATTCAAAAGGTTTCTCCCATGTGGGTTCTTCAACGCTTCTGAAGAGAGTTACTGTCACTGAATCTCTTTCCACACTCTGAGCATTCCAAAAGTTTCTGCCTTGTGTGGGTTGTTTGATGATATTGAAGATTGCCAGTCCGAATGAATCTCTTTCCACAGTCTGAGCTTTCAAAACGTTTCTCCCGTGTGGGTACTTTGATGCTTCTGAAGACTGCCACTGTGACTGAATCTCTTTCCACACTCTGAGCAGTCAAAAGGTTTCTCCCCTGTGTGGGTTGTTTGATGATATTGAAGATTGCCAGTCCGAATGAATCTCTTTCCACAGTCTGAGCTTTCAAAACGTTTCTCCCGTGTGGGTTGTTTGATTTGTCTGAAGATGGCCACTCCAAATGAATCTTTTTCCACAGTTTGAGCATTCAAAAGGTTTCTCCTCTGTGTGTGGGTTCTTTGATGCTTCTGAAGACTGCCACTGTGACTGAATCTTTTTCCACAGTCTGAACATTCAAGAGGTTTCTCCCCTGTGTGGGTTGTTTGATGTTTCTGAAGACTGCTATTGTGACTGAATCTCTTTCCACACTCTGAACATTCAAAAGGTTTCTCCCCTATGTGGGTTCTTCAGTGCTTCTGAAGAGTGCTACTGTGACGGAATCTCTATCCACATAGTGAGCATTCAAAAGCTTTCTCCCCTGTGTGGGTTCTTTGATTATATTTAAAACTGCTACGGTGACTGAATCTCTTTCCACACAGTGAGCATTCAAAAGGTTTCTCCCCTGTGTGGGTTGTTTGATGCTCCTGAAGACTGCCACTCTGACTGAATCTCTTTCCACACTCTGAGCATTGAAAAGGTTTCTCCCCTGTGTGAGTTCTTTGATGATATTGAAGACTGCCACTACGACTGAATCTTTTTCCACAGTCTGAACATTCAAAAGGTTTCTACCCTGTGTGGGTTCTTTGATGCTTCTGAAGTTTGTCGCTCCGACTGAATCTTTTCCCACAGTCTGAACATTCAAAAGGTTTCTCCCGTGTGTGGATTCTTTGATGCTCTTGAAGAGTGCTACTGTTAATGAATCTCTTTCCACACACTGAGCATTCAAAAGGTTTCTCTCCTGTGTGGGTTCTCAGATGCTGTTGAAGACTCCAACTCTGACTGAATCTCTTTCCACACTCTGAGCATTGAAAAGGTTTCTCGCCTATGTGGGTTATCTGATGCTTCTGAAGACTGCCACTACGACTTAATCTTTTCCCACAGTCTGAACATTCAAAAGGTTTCTACCCTGTGTGGGTTCTTTGATGCTTCTGAAGTTTGTCGCTCCGACTGAATCTTTTCCCACAGTCTGAACATTCAAAAGGTTTCTCCCGTGTGTGGATTCTTTGATGCTCTTGAAGAGTGCTACTGTTAATGAATCTCTTTCCACACACTGAGCATTCAAAAGGTTTCTCTCCTGTGTGGGTTCTCAGATGCTGTTGAAGACTCCAACTCTGACTGAATCTCTTTCCACACTCTGAGCATTGAAAAGGTTTCTCCCCTGTGTGAGTTCTTTGATGATATTGAAGACTGCCACTACGACTGAATCTTTTTCCACAGTCTGA